ATAACAAAGAGTGAAAAATTTAAGGGGGTCTGAATACTTTCCGTACCCACTGTATATATATATATATATATTTTTTTTTGTCTTTAGCTAAATAAGTAGAATTAATTATTATTTTATCATAGTAATGTTCTTCCACCTGTTAACAATTATGTGTGGTTTACAGTTTAATTCAGTATGGCATTTTTAAGTAGGAAATTAAATAATATAGGCCTAATTGTTATAAGCATAAAAGCTTATGATTTAACCATTAAAATATTACATTTTAATTGATTGTATCAACTGCAAATCAATTTAAATATCTGCTGAAGAAATGTTTAGGTTATTGTGGAATATTGCATTATTTAACTGTATGGCACTTTGGAAATCTTCAGTGTCATTCTGGCTATAAAAACCATATACTCTTGATTTCTGTAAAGCGACATGAAAAAGACACTCTTATTAAAAAATAAATCCTATTAATTAAATTACTATTTATTATTAAATGCAAGCCAATTTAGACCAACAAGTCAAGCCGACTGAATACTGCCTGTGCACATAATGCCGAGTTCTCACTGCACGATTTTCAAACTCGTCGGATCGCCGTTGTTTTCACACTGATCTGTCTGTTCTTCCCTTTTTCGACTGCGGTCAAGCCAGCCGCCAAGTCGAAAAGCACGGTCAATCTAGCCGCCACGTTATTTCGAGGGTCGCGCATAAACTGCCTATTACGGTAAAACCGTCAGAGAACTGATCTGAATGCAGTGCTCCTCATCCAGCGAACGCGATTTTTTTCCCCCCAACACACAGTCAGTAACTGTCTGATGTTGAATACCAAAATAAAAGCCCTCCAATACTCGTATTACAAAATAAGAGCAAGAATATACGCCTGCTGCATCTCTACATTCAAAAAGCTATAAAAATAAAAGTTCTTGAATGCACAGACCAGTTCCAGCTCAGATTGAGAGTACACCTTCCCACAGTGTCAGCTGCGTCGTTTCAGGACTGTCTGATGTGGAATTACAAAACAAGATATATAAGATAATATCTGGGGTAGCAGTCAGTTGCTGCTGTGTTCACACTGCACGATGGATCGGCGACAGGTTTCCAGCTACAAGGAGAAAAAGAAAACAGATTATGCAGGAGGGAGATGCAGGGAACAGGGATTGGGTGTTCTGCAAATAGAGTTGGAGGTAACTAATTTTGCAGTAACTGTTATGCCGATGTTGTGGCTGGTCAAGCAAATGTCTGTGCTTGTTTCTGTATGATATAATTGTTTAGATATCTATTACAATACTGAAATATTGTGGTCTATAACTCCTCCCCCAACTTCCCTCTGCCCTGTATCTTGGTCTCTCATTGGCTGTAGGTCATCGCCGATGTAGTTTTCAGTCAGAAATCAGT